ATAAGTAAGCGACGTTGACGATTGAAAAGTTATAAAGTTATCACGTTTATCACAGAGCATGGTTGTTAAATTACTATTAACGTCTTTTTCAAGTAAAATATCCAAATATGAAACAGATGTGTCAGACTCCTAGGTATCTTTCATCTCAAGCTCACCTGGAATATATGGTGTCGACATTAGAATGGAAATAACAATTGTTAACTGCCAGCACGTCGTCGATATATCTAAATATCAAAATGAGAGCCATAGCTTTTTTTTTCTTCCTCTCACGTATAAGACTTTAGACAAATTCTGTTTCATATGAAAACAAAAAATTTTTCCTCTAATAACGGGGCGCAATTGGTACCCATGGGAAATCAAATGGATTTTTGGAAGACTTGGTCTTTCTAAGAAGAACAAAAAGCTACATTACTTTGTTTTTATGTATTGACAAACATAAGCATACTTTTATAAAAATTGTCTGTTCATTTAAACAGATGGCACTGAAGAAGGACGAACCCTCTTACATGTACAGCGGACGGAAACACCAAAGGAAAACATTTCAGAGGCTAACAGTTTTTCTCCAGGGTGTCAACAGCCTAATAAGAATTCAGAACAGAATAAACTTGGTAAGTCATTATTCCAAATTTTGATTTTATGATTTTAAAAGTTTGGATATTCTTTTCAACTTATATTAAGAATGTGAACTCCATATTCTGTGCATTTATATAAAAACACAAAACACTCAAAAATCTTAAATGTCAATGATAAGCTTATTCCTTATTACCTCTTCATTTAAACAGATGACACTGAAGAAAGACGAATCCTCTTGCATGAACAGCGGATGGAAATGCCAAAGGAAAACATATCAGAGGCTAACAGTTTTTCTCCAGGGTGTCAACAGCCTAATAAGAATTCAAAACAGAATAAACTTGGTAAGTCATTATTCCAAATGATATATTAAATTTTATGATTTTAAAAGTTTGGATATTCTCTCAATATATATTAAGATTGTGAAATCCGTGCATTTATATTTATGCCCTGTTCACATGGAGAGATTAATTCGAATTAAGGTAGGACCAATGGATAGGTCAAATTTTTCTTCAAATTCAGTTTTTCTGAAACTTTGATATTTTGTTCTTGGATACAGAATTTCTCTTTATATATGATATGAAAGAAATTCAACCGCACAAGTTTTGCCCACATAGTCTGAAATATGGCCTTTCAGAACCCTGTAAGAAGTTTGTGAAATCAGACATTCGACTTGAGAATGAGCCTTATTTTAGAATTTTCTATTGATCTATTGCAAATTTGTGTAATACTTTTAATAAAGTTAACCTTTTTGTTACTTTCAATCAGTAAGTCACATTGATACTGGAAAATTTGGGTAAAATATTAAGTAAAAAAGAACATTTATTGTGTCAGAAACTGAAAATTCACATGTAAATATCCGACAGTTTAAGTTTTCAAATTGATTCAAATTGGTCCTAGAATAAAATGTGTAAAAATAAAGAAAATTGAACCCGTACAGTGGTTTCAGATATTTGGTGATTTATAAAAAATTCAATGGCAAAAAAATAAAAGATTCAGTAGATGACGTCACAATATTTGACCTTTGACCTCTTGATATGACCTTGACCTTTGTAGTACATAAAGAATAGAGACTCCTTATATATGTGTCAAAATATCAGCCCTCTACTATTTATGGAACAAAAGTTGCACTGCATTTTATAACAGACTGTTACATTATTGTCTATTGCACTTAGATAGCGTAAACACATTCCAAAATGTAAGCTCCCAAATGACCAATATATAGGATTCTCTGATTTTTTTTCACAAAATATAACGCATATTTGCCAAAACTTATTATTTTTCTTTCAGGGCTGATTCATTGTTGTCGGTATAGTAATATTTCTCTTTTTTCCTCCAGTACTTTTTTAAGAAATGGTTAAAATAGAACCCACGGGTGTTTTGTCCAACCTTAAATGTAAGTTAATGCAAATTAAATTTGAAATGCGTTCACCTGGGGAGTTTTATGTGAATTAGTTTAATTCAAATAAATTTATTGCACATTAAACTACTTCGCATTATCTCCGTGTGAACGCCAAGCAAAGCTAATTCGAATTAGATTTTAACGCATGCGTAATGACAAAATTAAGTCAAATGCCACATGACAGCGGTCAGCTATAGGTAAATGTACTCATGCCATTTTTAAGTGAAAATTAAGAAAAATTGCGTTAATTAAAATACTTCACTTTCGCTTCTGCTTCGCAGTTAAATTCGCATTATTTTAATTGGCATTATTTTATCTCGAAAAATGCGAATTAAGCTCTACGTGTGAGCAGGGAATAAACACAAAACACTCGAAAATCTTTAATATCAATGAACAGCTATTTGCCTTTTGTCCGATCACTCTTTTTCCCGTAGTTTGAGAAGATCTTAATCTGTTCTACTATCAGGGATCATTGGCTGGGGCTATGGATATTATTCCTCTGTTCTCAGCACTTATGCTTAATATTCAATTAAAGTTGATAATATTTTAACTTTCGGAATTTGAATGAACATATAGCATTCATAATGTAAATGAACAATTTGCTTTCTTCAAAATTGTGAAAGAAAAATCAAAAGAAAATAAACGCTTGGATTATATTGGTCATATTATTTGAAATATTTTTAGCTCACCTGAGCCGAAGGCTCAATTGAGCTTTTCTGATCAAAATTTGTCCGTCGTCTGTCGTTGTTGTTGTCGTTGTCGTCGTCGTCGTAAACTTTTCACATTTTCATCTTCTTCTCAAGAACCACTGGGCCAGTAAAGATGAAACTCATGTGGAATCATCCTCAGGTAGTGTAGATTCAAGTTTGTTCAAATCATGACCTCTGGGGGTAGGGTGGGGCCAAAATTGCCGATCAAAGTATTACATAGGAATATATAGGATAAATCTGTAAAAATATTCTTCTCAAAAACCACTGTGCCAGGAAAGATGAAACTCATGCGGAATCATCCTCATGTAATGTAGATTCAAATGTAGATTCAAATTTGTTCAAATAATGACCCCCGGGGCTAGGGTGAATCAAAATGGCTGATCAAAGTTTATATATAGGAAAAATCTTTTAAAATCTTCTTTTCAAGTACTTCAAAGCCATGATTAGTAATATTTATATGGAATTATCCTCAGGTAGTGTAGATTCAAGTTTGTTCAAATCATGATCCCCTTGGGGGTTAAAATTCAAGCCCCCCCAACCCCCCCCCCACCTTAGTAAACTTTCAGTTCTGATCTGATATGTGCTTTTTCCTAGCCGATGTGCTCAGGTGATCGCTGTGGCCCCTGGGCCTCTTGTTGACGTATGGATCAAGTTTAACTAAAAGCGTAAAGACAAGGACTGGACCACAAGAGAGGGTCGAAATTTTACTTGAAAATATAGAAGAGATGTTTAAAAAGTTTCTTTTAATATTATTAAGGAGGTCATGATAAGTGATATTTTAAAGAGTTTAAAGATCCTCAAGTTGTAAAAAAAAATTCTTACTGTATTGTAAAACGCTTTGATTAGCATTTATGCCAGAAAGCGCTATATAAAAACAATCATAATTATTATAATCATTAAAATATCTATCTTGTTCAATTCCTAAAGGTAGGTTGAGGTCAAATGGGATATCAAGGTTACACTTACACTAGAAAAATTTACAAAAAGAATTCCCTTTGAATTTATTCTCATGAACAGCTAGTCTGCAATCATTCTAACGTACTCAGTAATGCAGATTTGTTCTTTTAAATTACGACCTTGTGTGAGGAAGTACTAATTCAAATGTCTATAATTGACAAATGGTGTAAGGGGTGGGGACATAGGGGATGATAGGGCTATATTGAAATGGAAACTAACAAGGATTATTTTATATTTGTTGATTAAGCAGGGTCACTAAATTCTAACATTCCATTCTGATAGAAATATTCAAAAGTTGTGTAGACCTTTTTTGAGTCACAGATCTTTGTTAAAAGTATGGCAGAAATCAGGGAGTAGAATTCACCTATGGGGTTTAAAAAATCATATTGCTAAACATTACTAAACAATGAAATTATTTTTAAATATTCTGATAATTTACATGTTGGTTATGGGGACTAGTTTGAGTGTTGCTGCAAATAAACCTGGAGTATAATAAGCATTGTTTTCACGAATATTAATTGTATTTCTATGGCAGAGAGAAAAATGAACATTTCTAAAAATGCTATAAAATTACATACGGATAGTACGTATAGATGACGGAAGTGCTAAAGGTAAAAATTTTAGAAATTTAAATTCTTCTTTAAAACATTTCAAGTACTCGAGCTATGAAGAATAATTTAGAACCCTATATCACCACTCAGTAATAGAAAAGGAAGATTTCAGCAAACTGAAGATGTTGGTAATTGCAACATTTTGATACAGAAGTATAAAAGAATGGTAAATTTTTCTACATACACATTTACATTATCACCAATGTATTTTGACCTACTGGAAATAAAAATAAATATTTTTTTAAATAGTATGCCGTAAAGTCAAACTAGAAAAAAAAGTCATTTTCTTTGTCTATTGGAAAGTCACCTAAGCTGAGAGTTCGTTGTATTTTTTAATCATAGGGCGTTGGTCTTCTTTTCGTCTTCCGTCCGTCTGACCGTCTATTCATAAACTCTTCATATTTTGGTTTCTTCTCCAGAATCAAATGTCGACCCACGCCTTCTTTCAAGTGGACATTTGTCATAACTGACTCAACTGTTTAAAAATCTTTTTAAAAAAAGGAAAGACAAAATTTAAGAAAACAAACACCATTAGAGAATTTGTTTAAAAAGAGATCTCCTGGTATAATTAAGGTAGAGTTACAAATAAAAATCAATGTTTTACATAAATGTATACCGAAAAAATAATGAAATATATTTTTTTTACTAAAAAATAAATCCAGCAAAAATGCCAAAAATAAATCCAGCAATACCCTGATTAGTTTTAAATACGAGGGTTGTTCAAATAGTTCGTAGACTCTTGTCATAACTTTTTTTTTTTTTAAATTTAACTTTGTATTATTACCAAATTTGGTTCACATACTAGTATTTAAGCAACAGATTCAAATAAAGTTATGGTGGCCCGCGTGGTCATATTGGTTAGAGCGACTGCTCTGGAGTGGCGAAGTATGCAGTTTATCTTTACATCGTGGTTTCGAATCCAAATGTGGAACTTGGATACCAGTCCTTTGGATGAGACCGTATAAACAGAGGTCCCTTGTCGCAGTAGGTGCTGGCACGAAAAAAAAAACCCACTGCACAATGGCCCTAAGTGCCAAATATAGGACAAAATTTGCAGCTCTCCACCGACAAGTGGTGGCGTCTTCATATGATTAAAACATTCTCGAGTGGGACGTTCAGCAATATACAATCAGTCAATCAATTAATGTTATGATATTCAAAGAATATACTGGGGTCACAATGGGAGCATGATATGAAAAATAGTTTGAATTATATTTTAATATTCTGATGACAAGATAGGGGACAAGTATAAGTGTTGCAGCAAATAAACCTAGAGTATTACATGTATAAACAATATTTATCTACATCTACTTTACATATACCCTGTAGGTCTACGGACGAAGCTTCAAGATGATTGTAACGAGTAAAGTCAAGTTCTTTTTTACAGTTCTTTTATTTTAATTAAATTATCAAATTGGCAATGTACGAAAGCCCAGAAGGCTCATTCGAGATTCGAGTTTCCAAATACGAGATTCGAAATTCGAGATTCAAAATTCGATATTCGAGATTCAAAATTCGAGTTTCGAGATTCAAGATCCAAACGAACCAATCAAAAGCGGGTTCAACATTTGATTATTTCCCTTTATTATGTTTTTACTATCAAGAAATAATTCAATATAATTATATCAAATGGGTCATTTCATTAAATTATAATGCAAGAAAAATTGTTATATACATTAGAGGGAAATTTAAATAATTAATGGATTTTTGATCCGCAATGAATATTTCAATTCATATTATAGATTCTTAAAAATTAAATAGATTACATATATCAGAAGTATATAATTATATTTTTGTATGAACGACTAATTACCGTCCCCCAGGAGGTGGTCGGTTATATGATGTGAAAGTTTGAAGTCACTGTGCGTTTCTGCGGAGTTAAAACAATTTAAATAAAGAAATATTTAACAGTAATATAATAGTATATTGTAAAGCATCGTCGCAAGCCCCGGGTTTGGGTCCATTCTGTTTGTGGAAATAGAATGGACACAAAACCCGTGGCTTGCGACGATGATTAAAAAGACGGTCTAAAGGTTAAAGAAGAACGCACAATAAACATAAAATTAAAAATTGTTAATGAAGAATGAGGTAAATATTTCAACTAATACTGATTTAGAAATTTAGATATGTTTGAGGTGCGGAGAAAATTAAGACATGTGTTGGGCGTAGTCTAAAGCAAAGACCGCGTTATGTATATTACACAATTTTACTTTCTCTATTCAAACGGGATTTGTACGTATTTATTTTAAAATGACGTGTACATATGTACATATATAAACATTTTGAAAAATATGGTTAAATTCAAATTCATTAAAAGACTTAGCAGGCTACAAAATATTAACAAGATTTGGCCCTAGCAGACGAGGATAATGCACGTTTTACAATGTGCCAAGAATTTTCCCGCTACAACTCAAAGAGAAGAAATGTAGTGGCGGATCTAGAGGGAGTTAAATTTTTTCCTCTAAGAGAGAGCAAGGATACCAACATACATGTATTTGTTGCATTTTTATTAAATTAAACTACACTGCATATCTAGTTGTAGATTACATTAAATTTTAGTTTTAAACTTTTAATGTAAATGCCATACAGGTCCACGGTTCAAAAGTTGTTGACGCAGAGTACCAGAGGGTTAATACTGAACATGCATTATATATATAATTAAGAAAATCAAGCAATGTCAAGCACAAGCTTTTAATATCACGAGGATATATATTAAAAGATAAATATATGATATTTTAAAAACAGATCACCATAGTCTTTAGTTGCTTCATAAAAGGAACATTAATTGGTTTGCGGCCGATTTTTGACGCTTGCATCAATATATGTGCCTTGTCGTAATTCTTAGAAAAACACAGGTACGTGTGGACAAGACCCCCCCCCCCCCCTTGATATTGAACCCCGGGGCTTATTTCTCTGTTATGTGTAGCCTTAAAATACGAAAAAAATCGCTGGCGTAAAACCCCCAGAATAATCGCTCAACCAAAAAAAAAAAAAAAAAAAAAAATCAAAACAAAACAAAACAAAAAAAAACACTATTTATTACCCCACTTTACAAGAAAGAATGCTGTTTACGGAGAAAATGTGGAATTATTACGTGATGCAGAGTCAGTCCGATAGCATGGACTAAGACAGAAATACATTGTATATGTAGAGACAGTGTCAATCGACATTTAAAGTTAAAACAACATAAATGCATTTAACACCAGCGGGGGTACAACGTAAACAGACTGGAGTGGTATATCCTTCTCTTATAATGTATAGTGGGTATTTGGGGGGGGGGGGGGGGTGTTGAGCGATTATTCTGGGGATTTTACAATTTTTTGTTATTGTATACATGATGAATAAGTTTAATAAATATAACTTGTGAAAAAAATGTCCAATAAGCCCTAGGGTTGAATATCAAGGGGGAGGGGGGGGGTGGGGGTTGTACCGTTCACAAGTACCTGCGGTTTTCCTAACTGAGGAAATGCATAAAAATTAAGTTAAGTAGACAATTCAAAAAAATATATACTCCTTAAATATAAAATCTATTTAATATTTAAGAATCTATAATATAAATAAAAATACTTTTTGCTGATCAAAATTCCATTAATTATTTAAATTTCCTTCTAATATATATAACACTTTTTCTTGCATTGTAATTTAATCAAATGACCCATTTGATATAATTATATTGAACTATTTATTGATAGTAAAAACATAATAAAGGGAAGTAATTACATGTTTTGATTGGTTCGTTTGGATCTTGAATCTCGAAACTCGAATTTTGAATCTCGAATTTCGAATTTTGAATCTCGAATTTCGAATCTCGTATTTGGAAACTCGAATCTCGAATGAGCCTTCTGGGCTTTCGTAGCAATGAGCTACAAACAAACAAAAATATATATACACACATTAGCAATAGAACACACAAACAAAAATAAAGTAATTAATCAGCATATCAAATTAAATTCAAACGAACACATACCACCAAAATATGGCGATGCCACACCAAGTCACTCATACATGAAAAGTTTTACACTGCGTGTGTGGTCTCTACATTGAAATAAACAATATACCGGTATTTATTATATTAAAGATAAAAAATATAGTATTTAGTGTAATTCAAGTTAAATAAAACACAAGATTTACACCATTCTTACAGTAACATGTATCACTCTCAAACTTGAATACGTTCCATTCAACATAGGGGCGTCAGCACAGTGAGTATAAATAAATTACTTGACGAATCAGTTTAAAATCTTAGAGATTTACTCAACAAAATAATAATTTTATTATAAATTCAAATCACTGCACTGAAAATTAATAAAAAATAGAAAACAACTAGATCAATATTCAAATAGAATTTTATAAGGATATTTATAATTAAATCTCTAAATAAAATAAAATACCTGGCGCAAGGACAAAAACCCTATAAATAGACTATCGGTTTCAGAAAGTATGGTGCGCGTTTCGCGTTCTTTTAATATGCGCAAAATCAACTGTTACATGATCTTCGTCAAATTAAAGTTTCCTTTCTCCGATAGATATATTTACATCAATTTGGCCCAAATGTACATGTTGAGTCTTAATCTCGGAAAAATGAATTGCACTTTATTATTACTTATTGTTTTCAGGAATATAATTTTTATTCCTCTAGATCTGTCAGAGAAAAAACCCGAAACATTTCCAAAAATACTATAGAATTATATCATATTAGGAGTGTACATTCAATTAAAAACCGAGTGGCTTCTACCAAAATTTATGCGACATTGATATAGATTTCTAGTTGCAGGTATATCTAAGAAGAACAAAAAAAATGCATATTAATATTATGAATTACAGACTTATTAGCATAATTTTAAGTTGTCTATGATTTAAATAGATGAAACGAAAGAAGAAACTGATCTTCATTCAGCAGACAGAAATGTCAAACGTAAGCATTTGAGTAACTGATAATTTCCTTTTAAAACAGTTCATGAACTTTCATTATAAAGAATAAAAAAGCCCATATATATTGGAATTCCCATGGGTACAAATTGCGCTCCGTTACTCGCAGACTTATCTTTATATTCATATGAAGCACAATTTATGCAAAATCTTATGCGTGAAAAGAAGAAAACACTTGCTGTGGCCTTCAACTCGACATTTAGGTATATCGATGACGTATTGTCAATTAATAATGGTAATTTCCATTCCTACGTCGATACGATATATCCAGGTGAGCTTGAGATAAAAGATACCACAGAGTGCGACACTTCTGTTTCATACTTGAATATTTTACTTGAAAAAGATACTAATGGTAATATAGCAACCAAGCTATATGATAAACGTGATGACTTTAACTTTTCTATCGTCAACTTCCCTTACTTATGCAGCAATATACCTTTATTACCTGCATACGGAGTATATATATCTCAGTTGATTCGATACGCAAGAGCATGCTGTACGTATGAACAATTTCTGAAACGAGGGAAATTATTGACAAGCAAGTTGATGAAACAAGAATATCAGCAGTCTCGTTTAAAGTCATTTATTTTGTAAGTTCTATGGTCGATACAATGACCTTGTCAGCAAATACAATTTATCATTAAGTCAAATGCTGACTGACGTTTTTTATACCAATTGTTAGTCCATTTATACACTGAATTGACGACGGATTTTTTCCGTTATTTCCTGATCATGACAAGGAGCACACGTCGGGGACCATATGAACGAGGACGATAAAGAAGTAACAGATCTTTTCAATATTGCAGATATATATTTTCTGCTTTTGTTCAAAATGTATTGAGTATTGAAAAACAAAGAATGGATTTGTTTCAAAATCAAAATGTTTGATATTGTAGCAATACCATCTACAAAGTCAAAGCCTGCACCGGCACCGCCGAAAAATTTTATTAACAAGAATGATGAAACAAAGTGAGTACTTGTACGAGTAATATGGTACATCTTTCGATATTAAGGTGAATACTTTTTGTTTTCTGTTTCAAAGACCTATATACCTAGGTTTTCAGACTTGGTTGGAACAAGAGTATTATATAATTTCAAAACTTTGAACACTAATTATAAGATGAAATAGTTTTGGTAATATTTACATCCACTGAATATTTTTTCCTTTATTTCTTATGAAGACCATTGCCATTTATCAGTGCATGAACAACACTGAGCAAGCCACATGTGTAGTTTTCTTGATTAATGGCTGTTCCATCAGTTCTGCATATAATGAAATATTTATCTTAAAAACAATAGTTAACAAATAATTTTACTTTGAGTGATTTTTAATACAGATGTAAATATAAACAATAAAATGCTTTATTTGTTTATTAGTACGGGAACTAACATCGAAGCAATTGCAGAAAAAAATTACATAACCCGCTTACACGTGTTATGTATTTTACTGCAATAGCTGCATTATTAATTCCCGTACTAACAACTATAGAAAGCATTTTATTATTTAAATAAAACAATGACACTGCAAAGCGGAACAACAATTCGCATAAAGGATATCTACGAGGGCTGTTCAATAAATAATGTCCTGAACTGTATGACATGCAACTTTTCTCTCATCATTGAATCTTAATGAATTGATAACAGTTTATTTGACCACTTTTCATCACAGAGTTTCAGAGTGAGAAGCTGGAAAACAAGGGCTATTCGAGACACTGCATTAAAAATGAAGGGTAAAGAATCAGTAAACTAGAATGAAAATAAACGCTTCATCAAAGCTGCTGTAAAAAAAGTTGAGAATCCCAAAGAAATATTCACTGAAATATGTGGAATTTACATCAACCAATGTATGTTTTATAGACACATGTGCAGGTGGATTTCAATGAACATAAATGGTATAATGGGCATCAAAAATTGGTAGCGTCCTTGGCGATAAGGATTTACAACAACCATTGTATTGTTTGCCAAAATTTAAAATATAATCACTGATGATGTTTAATTACCTTTAAGACAAATAGCAAATTTAATAGACATCATCTTGGGGGTAGTTCACACTGTTTTAAAGAAACATTTGACAGTAAAAGGGCTTAGTACTCCATGTTTTGAAAAACGAGTGAGAACGAAAGCGTGTAAGAATATCTAAACAATTATTTTTTTTTTAAATTATAGTTATCCATGTTTGTCTGAAATTCGAACAGATAATAAAAATTGAATCCATTGCTTTAAACCCTTAAAACAAATTTACAATAAGATGTACTTGACGAAAAAGCAAAGATCTGAGAAAAGCAAAGAATTACAAATGCACAAACATAGTTTTACATGCCATTTTCTTTAATATTAGTGGCCTTGTTGTTCAAATTCTTGTTCAAGGTGCCAGCTCATTTTCTGAAGGAGTTTAGAAAGCAAAATTTTTGCAAAAAATCGAAAGGTTTATGAGAGGAAAAAACCATAATCAGGATTCCACTACATTAAATTTCTTCGTAACAGCGTCCAAACCCATGCGCCATAGAGAGTAAAGTAGTTTTGGAGATAATAGGGAAGTTTATGTATTGTCACATCAGCAATATTCGTCAGATCTTTTTTCCCTTTGACATGTTTCATTTTCCAAACTTAAAAAAAAACCTTTTAGAAAGAAACAAGTCCAGGAAAATATTCCAGTATACGAAGGGGCATACTCAAAAATGTTTTCTTAGAACAATTTGCAATTGGATAAAAACATTACAGACATGTATTTTAATTAAAAGAGAATATTTAAGTGAAATTATTAATTTGACTAAATCGTTGAAAAGGACATTATTTATTGAAGAGCTCTCGTATAAATCAAGGCAGCATTACCGGTAGACATCGATCCCGAATTAAGACACTTCCATTTCGAACATGATTACCTCACAAACAAACAGATACAGTAGAGTTAATCGTTGTGAGGTGATTACAAAGTATACAAGCATTTAACATTACGAAAGTGGACGAACTTCATAAAGAGATCCACCAATATTCGTGATTTTTTCGTTGTTCGGCGTCAATAACACCTGTAGTATATAATACAACAATGTTAGATAGACTTTGGCCATAAAAACTACCTTCTCGAACGCATGGCAATTATTGAAGAAGTTTCTGTGAATAATTTTGTGGAGTTTGACAAATCTTGTTTGTAACCATTTTGTATCCATTAAACTGGTTTGCAAAGCATGGAACTTTAATGTTTAGTGATATTTACTTTGAAGGTCAAAATATGTTTACATACTATTTGTTCAGTCCTTTGGTTCTATTTTAGATTAGCTGAACAAGAACCAAAAACCGTTAAAGATGGCAAAACACCTTCACCAACTCCTTCAAAGGAGCATGCAAATGATTAGTAAGTTGAAAAAGTTGAAAATGTTCGACAAATGGTTGGTTTTTTCATAAAGAGACAAATTTTATCTCAATAATTTTATTCAATCATTCTTTTTTTTTTGTTTTAGATGCTCAGACATTAAGATAAATATTGATGTCTTCATAAGGTCCAAGTGAAAAAAGTTTCTGCGAGAGGCTGATTCATAAGTTTAGAAGACAAAACATGAAAATGAAAGCAAAATATATGTGAAGTATTTTACATTATTTTCATTGGAATTGATTTGCTCATTTTGTGTTTATATAAAGTTATTACACAATAGATAAACCAAAATTATCCTATAAAATTAAGTTTTTTTCAGAAATTCTAATATTTTTGTTCTTGGTTACAGAATCTTTCTTTATTTTTAGCTCTACTGGTCAAAGATCAGAAGAGCTTATGCAATGGTAAGGTGTCCGTCGTTCGAACATTTGCCTGGCTGTCTGTAAACAATTTTTCAAAACGCTAGTCCTCCTATAGTTTTGGTCCGATTTCAATATAACTTGGCACACAAGTAGACTACACAAAACTACATAACCTAGTGCATCGATTTTTTATTTTGATGAACGGTGTTGCCAGTATTACTAGAAATAAAAATTTTCATGAAATTCATTAAAACACTACTCCTCCTACAGTTTTGGTATGATTTCAATATCACTTGGCACACAAATAGACTATACCAAGATATCAGTCTACATTTTACTCAAAGATAAATTGTATTTGCTGACAAGGCTATTGTATCAACAATAGAACTTACGAAATGATGACTTTAAACGAGACTGCTGCTCATATTCTTGTTTCATCAACTTGTTCGTCAATAATTTACTTCGTTTTAGAAATTGATCATTCTTTTCCGTATCGAATCAACCGAGATATATAAACTCCGTATGTAGGTGATGAAGGTATATTGCAGCATAAGTAAGGGAAGTTGATAGAAAAGTTAAAGTAATCACGTTTATCATAGGGCTTGGTTGTTAGAATACCATTAACGTCTTTATATTTACATTTCCAATGTCTTTGTCCGATACACAAGGGTTGTCCCAGAAAATTTTGTGCGCTGGTGTTTAAAATTTCATTTATTTGACATCATTAATGACAAATATATGGCGATATTTGCCAAAGCGCTTTGAATAAGACATTGTTAAAAATGGTAACGTTAAGCGGTAATGTGGAGCAACAAACTATCATGCAACACTATGTTGAGTGGGATTGGACTCCTGTATGTAGGAAAAATAGATGATGTTAACGATGAAAAACCACAAATTTAACTACATGTATGAGAAAAACAGGTTTATCTCTAGTAGAAGGGACTCGAAGTCGACTTAACTGGTTATGCGATAGAAGAGAAAGACGAACTGAAAAGACAAGAGCGTGACGTCATAGGTCTACGTGAAGACTGCTGTTAAATAATTCGATCAGTTTGGATTATGATCGGGATTGGGAAATTGTTTATTAAAAGAATTATCTTCGCAATCTTTTTGTTATACTAGTATTTGAGATGTATAACTTAGTAACAAAACAAAACCAAATACAGTGCCGAATGTATGTTTACTGAATAATTTTTTAGAGGCACAGTTTCCAGAACGAATTCACAAACACTACGAGGTACGTTTTGACGTCGTCAGTGTTCAGCGTTGCGCCGACAGCTGATTTGTTAGATTCGTTTATCTGAGGGGAAAATTTGAAATTTTTAGGCAGGAATAAAAAAACGTTGATTACGATGTGTGCCAATTTTTAATTTTATAGCAATTGTGACACAAAAGATATTGAAAATGTTCGCGTTTTTCTGGGACAACCCGTAAAATTACAGATAGTTAATGTACTTTATTCCTTCATAAATGCAGTGGTTCATCTATAGGCGCGGTTAAGAAAAATCACGCGCTGGGCGTGATAAATGTAGAGACAGACGCAGGACTTAGAGCACGTGGATTGTCGGAATTAAGAGCATGTAAATATCAGGAATAACTGTCAGATTTTTTGATTTCATGACAATGATCAATCGATTGGCTTGCGTGATAATTTTTTTCATAAACGCCTTTGGCGTTTTATACAAATTATCACGCAACCCAATCGATTGATCACATCATGAAATCAAAAATTAGACAGTTATTCCTTGATTCAAGTAAAATATCCAATTATTAAACAGATGTGTCAGACACTGTGGAATCTTTTTTCTGAAGCTCACCAGGATATATTTTCATTTCTAATTATTTTTTTCTATGATAACCCTTTGAAAGTTAATGGAGTTGATTTCTTGATAATTCTACCGGAATGTTAATAAGGCAGGTCGATAGGTCAGGAGGTAAGGAGGCCAAATATGTATGCGAATCTCGTGCGCATCTGTCTCTGTGTCTGACGCTAAGGAGGCCAAATATGCATATAAATTTCGTGCGGCTGCCTTTGTGCTTGACGTCACTGGGCGAGGACTATTGAAATTCGCATGCGTGTCCTCATGTCATTTAAGTCTATGTCTACATTTTAAAAGTCTAAAACTACAATTTTATTTTACAATGAAATGGAAATGGAATTGAAATAGAAATCACTGTCTAGTTAGTATAGTATGCAAGGGACATCAACGCCTGTTATGCAAATTATCCCATGTTTCCCACCATCGTTGAATCCCTGGCATACTAAACTAACTAGACAGTGATTCCTTAAATATCGTATCGACATACGAAAGGAAATTCCCATTGTTAATTGACAATATGTCGTCTATATATTAATGTCGAGTTGAAGGTCACAGCAAGTGATTTCTTTTCACGCATAAGATTTTGCACTAATTCTGCTTCATATAAATACAGAAATAGGTCTCCTAATAACGGGGCACAATTGGTACTCATGGAAATTCCAATAGATTGTTGGAAGACCTGGTGTCCAAAAACAAACATAGATATTGTCAATCAGAAACTCAAGCATCTTTTTGATGTGAACTTCAAGGTACTTCTGTGTACAATCAGAATGTTTTTTAACAAATTTGGAAATGACCATTGACAAGGTTAGTCAATTTACGACTTTCATTATTTTTA